ATTTTTTTTTTTCGATTTCGTCTAGAAAGTTTGAGGGTTTTTGGCATTGATTGTGCGTCTGGAAAAATGTGAAGGGACTGTGTGGACAGCAATTGCCCATATAATCACAGGGGTGATAGGTTCGGGTGTGCTTTCGCTGGCATGGAGTGTGGCTCAGCTCGGCTGGGTCGCGGGCCCGCTTTGTATGGTGCTGTTCGGAGCAATAACTATTATTTCTTCGAATCTTCTCTGCGATTGTTACCGATACCCCCACCCTGAAGCCGGCCACATCAGAAATCGGTCCTATGCCGAAGCTGTCAGATCTTATTTAGGTAACTTGTGTGTGTGTGTGTGTGTGTGTGTGTGTGTGTTTTCGGTTTTATCACATATTAGTACCGGTGAAATGGGGTGTGGTTGGAATTACAGTAGCACATTTTGCTTTCCGGGTGATCGTGAACGAGTTCTTGATCCTGTTTAAGCCATTGACACACTTGAAAATACACAATGTTCTATTGGGAATGTTTACTTTTATTATTTGGCAGGAAAGAAGAGTATGTGGGTGGCTGAATTTTTTGTTCAAGAAAGCTACTATGGTTATAGTATTGCTTATACAATAACATCGGCCATCAGTATGAGGTATTCCTCGATGCCTAATGCTATTTTGATGCCGCCAACACGAGCAGACTCGTTAAATTAGTAATTGTTGTTGACAAATATCCAATGAGATTGCAAAAAAATTGATGCTAATTAATGTGCTGTCATTTCTCATTTCTGAAGAACGTCGACTGATTTCACAAGATGGATTAAAAAGTATTCCTTTCCACTCCGAGAAAACCGAGCCTCATAATTTTGTCCAAGTAATTTATGTACATGGTTTGTTGGTATATATATAGGGCGATTCTAAAATCGAATTGTTATCACGAGCAAGGGCACGATGCTCCGTGCGAATACGGAGGCAGTTTTTTCATGTTACTGTTCGGGGCAGTTCAGGTTGTATTCTCTCAGATACCTGACCTACACAACTTGCAGTGGCTCTCCATAATCGCGGCCATTATGTCCTTTGCTTACACTTTCATCGGGCTGGCTCTTGGCTTTGCCAAAGTATTAGGTATTTCGTATTTTTTGCTCCCGTTAATCTATGTTCTGCAAATATTGAGATTCTCGTTTTTAAAGATAACTTGCGGTGAATGCAGAAAACGGCGAGGTCAGGGGTGATTTTGGCGGTGTATCTACAGCCACTGCCGCTCAGAAAGTGTGGCTCTCGTCTCAAGCAGTTGGAGACATTGCTTTTGCTTTCACCTACAACATAATTCTTTTGGATATCCAGGTTAATTATTTAGATATTTATTGTGATAAAATTCTATATACTTAAATAAATTATGAACGACGACAAATGTGTGAATGAAGGATACTCTCAAGGCACCACCGGCCGAGAATAAGACAATGAAGAAGGCATCGACTATTGCTATACTTATCACCAGCTTCTTCTTTATCTGTTGTGGGTCTTTCGGGTATGCGGCTTTCGGGAACCAAGCACCGGGCAATCTGTTGACGGGCTTCGGATTTTACGAGCCCTACTGGCTTGTCGACTTTGCTAATGCATGTATCATTCTTCACCTTGTGGGAGGATATCAGGTAGATTGATCTCTCATTACTCAATATTCCATTTTTTTTTTTCGAATTCATAAACAGGTAAACATTTCATTAAGTGTCGACTACTTTTCGGTCTGCTTTTTATAGATATACAGCCAGCCACTTTTTGCAGTAGCCGAGAGACGGATCAAGGAAAAGCATCCGAACAGTGGATTTTTGAACAACGAGTATGTAGTGAAGCTCCCGGTGCTGCCACGTTTCAAGTTAAGCATTTTCCGGCTATGCTTTAGGACTGCTTATGTGGCGTCGACAACCGGGCTCGCCATACTTTTTCCATATTTCAACGAAGTCTTGGGAGTTTTCGGAGCCTTGAATTTTTGGCCTCTGGCAATTTATTTCCCCGTGCAAATGTACTTTGTGCAGAACAAGGTGAGAGCTTGGACTGGCATTTGGATAGTCCTTCAAGCTCTCCGAATATTCAGCTTGGTGTGCACGGTTTTGGCTTTTATCGGGTCGATTGAAGGCCTTATAAGCAACAAAATGAGCTAAGGAAGTGTGTGAGTCTGCTGTTGATTGCTGGACGATTTTTCGTGTACGATTTTGATTGAATAAACTACACTTTTCGTGCTTTCGGTTCGTGTAACATATTCATACACACGAATCGTTGCGACTAGGGTAAAAAAAACTACATGGAATAATAATCTGTGGGAGGAGCCTGTTGGATGTTTGGTTCTCACAAGATATATGTTTTCCTGGTGTAAGATGTCATCTTATCTGTTTTGTAGTTTTTCATTTTTTTTCCTTTTTAAACTTTATATGTATGCTAAAGTAAACCATGGAGCATTTTTGTCTCTGCACATTTTGATGTGTGCTTTGTTTGGCGACTAGTAGGTGTTTATGTGAATCAAATTTTAAAAGGGATTTAGATCTTTTGAAGACCATATCATGATATCAAGACGAACAAAATGCAGTATGATTTATTCATAATTGATTTCGTTGGAAATCATTCGATGAAGAAAAAGTAGGCACCATGTGTGCATGAGAAAAATTTCGTTTTTTTTCGATAATCAAGAAATCCGATTGTTAATTGGGATGTGTCATTTGAAAACTTGCAAGACGAAATTTTCAATGAGGTAAGTCTTATGGAAATTTAAGCATGTGATATTGGTTAGTTGACAAAACAACAAACTAAATATTGTTTGATTACTAGTCAAAGTCCGACCTTTTGAATTTCCATATGATCTACCTCGATAAGCAAAGTCCGACCTTTTGAATTTCCATATGATCTACCTCGATAAGGAAATGTTTTTCAACCAAATATCTTGATTATTAAAAAAATTAAAATAGAAATTATT